AAAAGTACTTTTTCTTTTTTTTCTTTTTTTTTTTTTTTTTTTTTTTTTTTGAAACATGAGGCTACTCATTTTAGCCTCTAAGCTAGAGAGAGGAGAGTTTACTGCTGACTTGATGGGGCATCAGCACCTTTGCTGTTTGCATTCACTGTGCATTTTTATCATCCTGCACGATGCTGTTTTTCCCTGTTTTTCCCAATTTGCAGCATTCATTCTGTGATTTTATTCCCCACAATGGGACRTGCCCACGATAATCTGACAGAATGAAAGCAACACGTGTCAGATCAGCTCCAAATAAATATCCTGTCTCCTCTGCAGCAGCTGCACGGAAAGAGATCTGACATAATGGTGTTATATCAGCAGAGCTACTAATCTCAGATAGCAGAGATTTCAGTGCTGGGGGAGGAAAGACGCTGCACAAATGGAGGTCATTCGATATCCTCCAGCACTTGGGCGAGTGTGGCATTTTGGACTGTCCCTGCTAATGGCAGGATAAAGTTCTGCTGCTAAAAATTGCTGTTGCAGGGCTCCTTGTGCAGGTAACCTTCAGTGTCTGTTCGGAGGGGCTGCTTTGTTTTCGTGCCTCGCTGAACCGGTTTCTGGGAAGCAAAAGCCGTGCTCTGGGTTTTGGTGGTAAAAGCAGGAGCCTCGGAGGTATCACAAATGGAAGTTGGGGGTTTTTGAGATATTTAACCCTCTTCAGGAATGCAGGATTGCTTTGCAGACCTTTTGTCTCCCCCTGGCAGCGAGGAGCTGCCGCATTGTGGTGAGACCAGAGCAGGGTCAGAGGCCGCGCACAGAGCCCACGTGTTCTCTTTTCATGGTCCTCAAGAGCTGCAGGAGGAGGTACAACAGCTTCACTGAGATCAGAAGGATGCTGAGAGACTTTTGCTGCTCTCACAAGCCGTGAGGTGACACGTATGAAGGATCCTTTTCCTTGGCAGCCATCCCTGAGCCAGAAGGTTGAACCTGTTTACTCAGGCACGGAGCCATCGTGTCAGATGGGCGTTCAAACACTCATTGCAGAGAGCCTGTGCTGTGTTTGTGCATCAGGTGAGAGTGTCCCAGATAGCATTCCCAGCAAGGACTGGCCATATGGCTGCTCGTTCTAATTCTGTATTCCCTTGTTCCATTGCTAATCCAGGTATGGCTCTGATTGTGTTTCAAAAACAGGGAGCAGCTTTTGCCTCCTTTCGTAAGCCCTCCTGCCCACTTGCGTAACACAGGTCAAAATAATGGTTTAGGGGAAGTTTTTGGAAGACAAACTTCCCTCCCTGCCCTCACCAGACCTCTTCCGTCTGCATTCAGAGAAATGAGAGCTTTATAAATCTTTTCCCCTTTTTAAGTGAACTCCCAGTAGGCTCCATCTGAGTGAATCCTCAGCGCCAGGCTGGATTTCACATGCACCGCAGAGTGCAAATCTGTGTTCAGYCACTCTCTGCGCTACTTTGCAGGATGTTTTGCCCGGGCTGGTGTAAAACATTGAGGTCTCAGGGTTCAGGAAAGAGCACAGCATTGGGGATTGTCACCCCAGCTGCCCCTTGGCAGCCCCACCTGCCTTGGCCTCTCTACATCAGCACAGCTCTGCTCTCCCTTAGACAGGGCTGGGGCACAACAGCCTGGTTTGTTATTGTTGCTTTCCGTGTTCCATTTTCATGTGGATTGAAGAGATAAGGGTCTGATATCTGTGCAATGTGCAGAGTGATGCCAGGTCATGCTCCTCTCTGATAGCTGAAGCAACTGCACCAGCATCCAATTATTTAGTGCAGAGCTTTGATAATCTGGTTTTCTTGCTCATCTCATGCAGTCTGTTCCRTACCAATGCAGCAGATTTGAAAAAATGTCATCAAAATCTTATTTTTCCTGCTATTCCTTTTGGAATTAGCTATGCTAAGTATTGGGGTAACACATTGAAGCAGAACTGCAGAGCCAGCGTCTTTTGATTTTGGTTTCATTTAAACTCCWAATAATGGATTATATTTCTCTTCTGGACCTGGCATGTATCATTCAGATTGGCCCCAGAGTGGGAAAAAGCAATATATTTTTCAATTGTATACATTTCGATGAATGCTGACATTAATGCTGACATTAAGCAGCTCCATTTGGAAATAGCCATCCTTCCCAAAGTTTTAACTTGCTTTTATCTATATATATGTATAACTTTTTCACTCACTTCTAAAATGCATCTGCCTCTATGGCTGAACCAGCTTTAGCTGTGCTTATGAGCACAAGATGCACKGTAATTTTCTGGGAAATTTTAAGTAGAAGATTTATGGCTCTGTTTTGTTGGGTCTCAGTTCTTAGCATCCTCTCCTATTACCATCCTGAAATGTTTAAGAACTTCTCCTGCTGAGGACATAAAAGCAAGCATTGAGATCCAAAAAATTACATTTCAGCCTGGATAGGAACAATTTTCTGCTCAGACATTTTGATTGTGAGCTGGGATTTGCCATTTTCCAAATGTTTGTATGGTTCAGTCCAGCACAACCAAGCCATGCACAGTCAGAGCTCTCTGGGCAATGCCATAAAAACTGAAATAATGAAGGCAGTGTCATTGCAGGCTGCAAAGGGTGCACAGGGGGACAGTCCCTTCAATTCAACACATTCCCCACTCAATAAATGCATCAACATCAGCCCTAAAAGGAGAAATCTGCATCCACCTGCACCCCATCCCGCTGGCATGGTGCAGTTTGGAAAAGCAGAGTGTTGGTCCTTCTGTCAGTGCATTTAATTACCTTCAGCTTTGCTTTTGTTCCTGCAATTTACAGTCAGTTAAATCATAAATACTGTTTTGTAGCTTGATGGGACAGTATGTAATGGTCCTCATCTCGTATCCCTTTTAGCCTGAATTTCACATCCTCTTTGTGATTTTTAATGACAGCAACAATTTTGATTATGTTGCTGGAACTTTTCCCAGGGTAGTTGTGGGGTTTTGTAAATAATGTGTGATTTAGAATTGRAACTGCAGCAAAAAGCTGTGAAATCCAGCATCTTCTGCAGCTGCATCTTTCTGTAAAAAATAATCTTTTAGCCTGAGTGTAAGAGATTGAAAGTGTCTTTAAAAGGAAGACAACCCCAAAATTTGAGTCAATCCTGCACAAAGTAACTGAGCTTTCTGCAACTCRGGGAGAGCTGCTTTAAATAGGAACAATTCAAGCAAAATATAAGTGAAAGCAGAACATATTTGCATTTCAGCTCTTCTCCCTTATGGAGATCTTGCTGTGCGGTCTGTGAGCCCTTTGCAAATATTTCCAATTCACAGAGATTTTRCATTTTCACCACAAAATTTGCTCCRATTCCAACTTCCCTCAGGACAACRACAAGWAAGGATAAAGAGCAGCAAACTGACCAAGCAAATCCTTTCTGCTCCTGGCTTTTCATGAATTTAGAGGAGTCATTTGGGCAGCAAATCTCATCAGGGGCAAACTTTATCCAAAGCTTTTTGTTGCTCTGCCACTTCTTTGCACTCAGAGTGAGGGATTATTGGAAAATTTGGGAAAGGAAGGGGAGAAACAGCTCTGCAGTCAGACACCTTGGACTCAGGTACTGACCACTGAGCAGCTTTTCTCTTYTCTTCTACAGTTTWATCCCATAGTGAGTTAGAGATGKCAAGGAAGCCATTGATAATGCTCTGAATCCTCATTTTCTCCCTGAATTCTTAACTTCATGATCAGTTCTTCCAAAGCAGAGTTTATTTTACTGTGTGATGAGCAGGGACAAGGTTCTCCAAGACATAGATGTTCAGCATGATTCTATGAATTGAACAAAAATCACTTGGAAACTCGAGGAGTGACTCTTGTACCCTGTTTAGAGTTCCTAAAATTTAGCTAATTAAATCCTATGTGTTGCCCTAATTTTATGGTTTCTTTGGTTATTTCTCTCTAGCTCAACAAAATTCACCAAAAATCCATGAAGGCTGGTGGGCTTATAAGGAGGTGGTCCAGGGAAGCTTTGTTCCAGGTAAGTGTAATTTTTAAATTTTAGCCTTTCTTCTTTTTTTTTTTTCTTTTTTCACTATAATTAATATAGTTGGATTTGGAGAAGATTTTTTTGTTTTATTCATGGTGAAGATTTGTGGTTGACCAATACTCAATATCCCATTATAATGGAGCACAGAAAGGTTTCTGTTAATACATCATCCAAAGATCATGGATGTTTTCCAGGGAACTTTGATGACATTCCTGGTTTGGCTCAGTAAAAACCAACATGATGCTGCTTTGTGTGTTCTGTGTATAGAAAAGTGGAAGGGAGAACTGAAGAGTATCCCTGTTAACTGGATGAATTGATYTATCTGGTGCAGCACTTCCAGGTAATTGCATTTCTACAATTGTGTGAATAGATTAGGACCGGAGCCCACTGCGTGCAAGTTTCAATGATTTTTGTTTAGTAAATAMGAAAAAAGTGAAATCATAACTGGGCTTCATTGAGATTTAGTAAATAAATCATCAAGAGGCAGCTAAAAGGATTCTGTTCAATGTATTTTCAGTGCAATTGAGATGATKATGCATTAATTTGTGTATATTAGCTGTATTTTACAAGTAAAGTAGTGCTTCAAGCTCTGTCATGAATGCACCAAGAAAACTGCTCCATTATTCTTATTTCTCACAATGACAGAAAATATTGCTTGGCTGTTGTGTGAGTTTTTCCTGAGGATCTGTAGGTTTGACCTACCCTCATCTTTCACTGCTGTGAGAGCTGTTACAKCCTGACAGCCATCCGAAATTCCCAAAATGCTGATTGTCTTGTTAAGGATTCTGCTGCAAATGAGATGAAATATTTCAGCCCACAGGTTTCTGGCACCGAAATGGTTGTGAAAATCTACAGGCCCGGAGCTTAATTACATATTGATGTAGCACAAAGTAGCTTTTCAGATTTACTTGAGGTTGGTTTGGGCTGTCAGAGCACTCCAGTGTGTTGTTGTGCATGTTTAGTTCCTAATGTTGACAGCAGGGGAAGAAGCCTGGAGAATATAATCACCTGCTCTGCAGATATTTCAGCTTTCCTCAGCTGCACAACTCGGGTAAATGCCCAGCAGAAAATGAATGTAAAAAAAAGTTTGCTAAGTTTTAATTTGTTGAAGAAAATAATGTAATTGTTAGGGTTTTAGGAAACCTGTGATACAGTCATGCTTGTGGTGTTCTGGTCTTAATACTGGATAAATTCAGGTTTAGGAGCATCCTTGGAAGATGAATGAGGAGATGGTGATGACTCAAAAACTTCTRGGAAGGAGGAAGTTGAGACTGGTGTGGAGAGGCACTTTGTGAGTGAACCCTGAATTATCCAGACATGTTTAATTTCCAGTTAACCCAGCACAAATCCTCAAGGACTGCTCCGGACAATCAGCAAGGACCAGCTCCCTGAAACAGCCATAAAGGGGAATTTGGGGCTGCAAACCTKTCAGCCTCCTCCTCAGACAGAAATCCCACGAGACTTTACACTATGAACAGCTCATTCTTTTTTTCCCCAGCAGCACCTAGAGATTTGGGCAGCCTTTGAAAACCASACTGAAAGCATTTCAAGGCTGCATTTGTGCTCTCAGACTAACACATCACCCGGGATGTGCCGGTGCATGTAAAGCTTTGCCGCGCCGGTGGCGGTCACGTCTCAGATCTCACACGAGATGWTAATTAGCACTGGAAAGGTGAGAGCTGCCAGGCAGGCTCAGGAGCACCCAAGCAAACAGCCTCAGCCATCTGCCAGGATGTTTTCTTCCCCCAGCTGCTGGTGCTGACCCGGGGCTGGAAGTGAACGCCCCCGAAGATGTTGAAGAGGAGTGCTGGTCCAAGAGCTGTCACTGCAGCTCCAAATTGGTGTCTCAGATGATGTGACTGACAYGAATCCAGCTCTGGAGCTGCCACGAGCACAGAGATGATTAATGAGGGGCAATTACATCTTGGAGCACTCCAGGAGGAGTTGCTGGAGTTTGTCTGTCACAGCTTTAGCTGGGTGAGCACTTCTCACCTTCTTCAAAGCAAAGTCCCTGTCTCTCTTTGAACTCTCACTTCTTTCATGTAGAGCTGTGTGAGAATGCAGCCAGGAGTGTATGACAGYGTGCCTGGGTTACAATGTGCCATTCATAAGTTTTTCTGCTTAGTAATCTGGTTTGGAAGCATTTAAATCAAGGCCTAAAAAAAAAACCTCCGGATCCTGGGCAGATTTGCTATTGAGCAGTTCATAAAATCAAACCACACTTCACYGCATTCCCCAGATTGCAGACTCTCCATATTCCGGGGTAGATTTTAGRAAAAAAAATAYTTAAAATCCCTTTCYARTGTTYATCTGGGTGCARGTTTTTTGCTGSTGTGAGCCACTGGGCTGCAGTCAGWGATGTGTGTGTCCCAGRAGRRGAGGATTTTGGCAGMRRKGAGGTACAARAYCCCTCYCAGTGCCTTTCCCAAATTCCCTTTCTGCTCCAAGAGAAGGCAGTGTTAGGAATTGGCAGGAGCTGTGTCTCAGGTCTGTGCTGGTGTCCAGAGAGGTGCAGAGTTCTCAAGTTCAGCAAAGCCAGGCTGGGTTTGTGTCTCTGCTGCTGGTGCAGCTCTCCCACCTCTCACCTGCTCCACCAGCAAAGAATTGCTCTTATGATTTAAATCATGTAGGCAAACAAAGAAGGGAGTAAGTAGAGCTTTAAAATGTTAATTGAATGCAAATTAGGTTCCAAATTAAACTTCAGGGAGTGTTCAAGGATGAAGAAGGAATACTTTCTTCTATGCAGGTGATTTGCATAATAATCAAATAATTTATATTATTACAAACTTTCACTACATAGATTTTTTTCTGGTGTGGAATATCAAAGTAGTTCTTGATGRGTTAAAATACATTTGAATAACCTTTTTCATATCTTTTCTTTGACTGTGGCTATGAACATGTTGTGTCACTGAAGGAGGGCAACCAAGACAATCACATTCCAAATTATTTTGCACCACTGTTGCTACTTCAAGTAGATGTGCATAATCTTTGTGGTTGTATCAATTCTTTTCACATTGGTCCTGTTTTTTCTCACCATTAGGAATGTGGGCTTTGGTAAACATGAGTATAAAGGTGGTTAAATCTCATTGGGAATCACAGAATTCACTTGCCAAACCTCGTGCTGTCACAGAAATTTTGGACTGTGTGATAGCACAAACACAGGAGTGTTTCTTTCCCAGAGAATGAACTGAACGATGCCAAATTCAGTTTATTTTACARGGTGCTGGTGCCAGCCTCAGCTCACAGGAGGAATCCCATCAAATAATGGGCGACACTGCTGGAGGAGCAGATGATGTTCTCCTTCCTTGTAATGAAAGTTGTAAATCAGCTCCAATTCCAGAGGAAGATCTGCATCCACTCGGATCCATAATTGGCCACAGCTCACCAGGCAGAGGCCACGTGTTTCCCTGAGGTTCTGGGATGGAAATGCCCTGTTTGTGGCTCTTCCTCAACTCATTTTGCTCTAAAGGGGAAAAGKCTGCTGGGGTTTGTTCCTGCTGCTCCTGCAAGGCTCCTGCTGGTGGGATTGTGCCCTCACACTGAGCAGCTGGCAGAGCTCCCCTGGCTGAGAACAAGGCAGTGGCTGTGGAACATGGAGAAAAAACTGAGAAAAAACAGAAAAAAATGAGAAAAAACTGAGAAACTGCCTCCAAGGAGGAGATGCATAAACTTCATGATGGTTTACAGGAGAAAGGAAGCCTGAAACAATTGACAATGATCATGAGTGCCAAAACCTCACCTTGAACCTCCTGCTGTCCCCATGTGCTCTGGTTATGGCCCACAGAGGCAGTTCAGGTGCCYCTGGTTTYTCYTGTCTGGGTTTCAAGGTTTCTTTTWTCACAAGAWKTTTYYTTWATTCCAATCTTCGAGATTATTTCTTTAAACTAGAAATGTCTTTATGCACATGTCCAAAAACAGCCTCTAATGGGCAGGGAGCTGTGAGAACYGTGCACCTTTAATTCTGGGCTTGGAATGGAGAGATCTGGAACTMCAAACCCACTCACAGAGGGGTCTGTGGTCACTCAGGGTGACTGCTTGAATAATAAAACCCAACCCTGCTGATGGCTCCTCCTGCCCTGCTCACTTTTTTAACTACACCATCTCTTCTGGCATTATTTTTGAGCTCTGAGAGGCTGCAGCAATGCTTTCAACAGCCTGCACACACCCTTCAAAATCCTGCAGTCTGCTGCTGACTCTGRGGGATTAACCAGCCAGGTGTAATAATTTATTGCAGCAATGATAGCAGTTTTTCTTTTAGAAAGCGATGTATCGGAACAGTTCATTTCTGCAGAGATTCTGGAAATCATTCACTTATTGATTTGAGCTTAGGTCAGTRTATGTCATATTTCAGCTTTGGTTGTCAGTTAAAGGGAGCTTGGAGGAAATGGATTTCATACCAGGTGTTTTCTTGGTTTGTCACTTCCTTTGGTGATTCTGCAAAACTTGACTGGTTACAAATCGTGTAGCTAGAAAGGAAACTAGTTTGGTTTTTGGTGGGTTTTTTGGGGAGATTTTGGTTGGTTTGGGTTGGGTTGGGTTTTTTGGGGGGTTGTTTTTGGTGGTTTTTTTGGGGGGGTTGGTTTGTTTTGTTTGTTTGTTGTCTGGGCATTTTGGGTTTTTTTCTACATGGGATTTAAACAAAATACAGCGTGGACTTTTTCCCTGTCACAACAGCTGGTGGTAGCTGGTTTTGGTTCCCACAGCCCCTTCTCACTCACCCCAGCARCTCAGGGCTGGGGATCACCATTCACAGGTGCTTTTGTTACCACTGTGAAACTCAAAATATAGCTGGTCCTTCCCACTACTTTGAACACCCATCTGYAGAGTTCCTTTTACAAATAACTTTTCAAATAAATTTACCATCTCACATACGGTCTGTAACTGCAAACAGTTCTCTGATTGATGGYTTTTCCTCTAATTCAGTCCCTTGAGGGCCAGCACTGTGAACTAACTGCAGCAAAGCACTCTGAAAACCTCAAATTTTAAACCTT